ACCCGACACGGTTCTGTAGAGAGGCCACTGGTCTCTGAGCTCAGGTGGCTCTGTCGGATCAGGACGCTTTAAAGGTGCAACAGTCCTGGGGGGAGGGAAAGAAGGTAAAGAAAGGAGATTAAAAAAAAGGAAAAAAAAAAAAAAAAAGCAGCATCGAGCCGTTTCGCCTCGGTACCAAATCCGCTATCCTGTTAAACTGGAAACCATTACCGACAGATTTAAGGCCGGGCAGATTGTTTCGTGTATGGATATTCGAGATAAACGCACATCCGCTGGGAAAACGAGACGTCTGTAAAATACTTCATTTAATTTTCATAGGGATTCCTCTCGCCCGGCTGCCAGGACTCCAAATGCCGGGGAGTAATTTGGAGGTGAGAACTCCACATCCCCCCGCCTTCGGAGGGGGAAGCATTTAACATTAAATTCCATTAGCACCTAAATTGTTTCTTAAAGACATCCGCTCAGACACAATGACTTCAGTGCGGGCATCTCATGCAAATACATTTCTCAAATTTTAAACCTTGTTAAAGCTCGTCTCGCACCTCGCATCGGGCTTAGCACTCGAGAAAACAATAGGCCTCGAGATTTTTAGCCTTTCTCCGGGTAAATATTTAGAGTGGAAGTCGCTAAAATATTTGGCCGTCTTTTATGAAATAGTCTGGCACGGTTCGAGCCGGCAGGAGTAGTAAATGAATAATAGATGAGGCGGGAGGATGCGTTTATTTTTGTTACCCTTCGGCTCAGGCGATTTTCCGTCGGGATAAGCCTGGGCTCCTCCACCCCTCTTCCACCTGATTTGGGTGGAAGTTTCCGAGCCTCAAATCCTCTGTTCCCTATTACATAATTTAATAAACTGTTGCAAAAGAACCTTAAATCACCCCGAGTGAGACTTTAAAAACACTTTTTTTTTTTTTTTGGAAATGAGAAAATTTTATTGCCTTGCTCACACCATTTAAATTTAATGGAAAGCATTCCCAGAAAGGGACGTTTTGCCACTTCCAACGGGATTTTGGACTAATGGCGGATTTTGCACGTATTTATATAGTTTCTCTCTCTCGGTATCCATACATGAAAGCCATGCTCACAAGCGCTGAAGTTAAATGCCAATACGTTGCGCGTTGCAAACGCATAAGGCATTTTATGTATGTGTACATATATATATATGTATACGTCTTCCCGTCTTTCAGCAGGACGGCAGAATTTATTTTGCGCTGTATTTTGCGTTTCTGCCGAAAGACCCCGCCGAGCCTCGGCAGGAATCTACATCGCTCACCCCACAAATTAAAAGAAATCAGTAAAATGTCCTTTCGACATCTGGGAAGGGGAGGGGGATGCTGGTGAGGAAGAAACCAAAACAAACGCAGCCGTGTGATGGAGCGGGGAAAAAAATATTAAACGGGATCCTTATTTTCTCACTCTCATCATTTTATCTCTCTCTGCCCGAGCCTCCATCTCTATCTGTTTATACATACATATATATAGGCAGGGGCAGAGGGGGGGAATCTGCCGAAAGAAACCCGAATTACCTGTGTGCGTCCTTTTGTGAATTTTGAGGTTTTCTGATCTGGCGAAAACTTTTCCGCAGCCGGGGAAGGGGCAGGGGAAGGGCTTCTCTCCCGTGTGCACTCGGATATGATTGACCAGTTTGTATTTCGCTTTGAAGGGCTTGCCTTCCCGGGGACACTCCTCCCAGTAGCAGACGTGGTTGCTCTGCTCGGGTCCCCCAACGTGCTCCACCGAGACGTGGGTGACCAACTCGTGCATGGTGCTGAAAGTTTTATTGCAACTTTTTTTGGGGTTGTTCAGCTGCTCGGGGTCGATCCACTTGCAGATGAGCTCTTGCTTGATGCACTGCTGCCGCATGTAGCGGAAAAAGGCACCTGGGTGGTGGTGGTGGTGGTGGGCTGCCATGTTCATGCCCATATTCATATTCATGGGGCCGTACTGGTTGTGCAGCTGAGCCGCCGAGTAAGGGTCAGTCCTGGGGCTGGAGACCTGGCGGTACTGATCCGACCGGGCGAACACCTCCCCCGGCAAGCCCAGGCGCATCTGCCCGTTGAGGACGTTTTGGGAGGCGTGGGGGCCGTGCTGGTCGTGGATGCCCGGGAAGAGGAGGTGGCTCTGAGCGTCCGTGTGCGGGTGGTGCAGGCTGCCGGCCGCAGGGCCGAAGATGCCGTGCTGCCCGCCGGCCGGCGACGAGTCCCCGAAGCCGCGGCTGCGAAACAAGAAGTCCCGGGTGGAGTTGAAGGGCGCCCCGGAGTAGGAGCCGACGTGGGCGGCGTGGGGCCCCAGGGCGGCGGCGGGGTAGCCGGGCGCCTGCGAGGTGAACGCC